ACCTCACGGCTCCTCTGGGGCTTGTTGGCTGGTCACCATCCACTGCTGAATGGGAAGACGAGTCAAAAGAGGCACGGGACAGGAAAGAAAGGACAATCTCAGAGGCCCATAGCGCCCCCTCTGGCCGTAATCCAGCTCTGTGTGTCGGTTCCTCTTTGCTCGATAAGATTGAACTGTCAAAAGAGCAAAAAACAACAGAGATATTACATAATTGCTGTTTTTCAGAATCTAATGCTGTCCGATGCCTACACAGGCAGCATCTTGAATTGAAGTACAACCTCTCAAGCAAGCAAGCAAGCAAGCATTTGGAACAGTCTACATATAAAGAGTGCTACATATGAAAAGCCTATTAGAAGACTCAACTAGCATTTGATTTCAATAAACTTTTACAATTCACACAATACTCTAAACATATAAATACATAGAACACACAAATATTGGGTAAAACAGATAAGTGTTGTTATTGTTAACAAAACTCTAAAAAAATAGTTTTCGCTAATTAAATTATAGTTGAAAAATTATAAATAGATGAAAAATGTAAAAAAAAATGAAATGTTGCTATGGCAACTAACAGAAATAAAAGTTTATGCTGAAGTACGAAATTTCCAAAACTTAAATAAAAATAAAGAGAATTAAAATAAAATTAAAACCAAAAAATAACAAATGCCCATGCATAACAAAATTACTAAAACTTAAAACTAAATTTAAAATGTAATACTGAAAAATATAATTTAAAGTACTAATAAATAATATAATAGCACATAAATACTAAAATACAACAACAATAGACCAGTATTGCATTGACTGCATTTAAAAATATTTCTCTCACTTTGTCCAACACCTTGAATATTTTTATAACAAAAATAAAATAAAATCTCATAAGTGAATGCTGTTAAAATACTATAAACAGCAACCGTCCAAATGGTGCTTTTGCACGATTTGACTTGCAATAAATTTCAATAGTGTTGATTTGTGCGATTTATTTTCATATAAATCAACCGGCATCTTGAATGTATTTTGGGATTGGCTTCTGTAGCATTTGGTCAACGGGAATGCCTTACAATGGTCCCTACGTAGGTAGCACTAGGTTTTGTATCAGAGCCCGATCTGAAGTGCACATCACTCAAGTGGGCTTTTCCTCTACAGTATGCATATTGCAGACGTGACAAAGGCCAGAACAGAAGGACGCCGTGACACATTTTTGACACGGGGCGGGTGTAAACCACCCTTTACCAATCTGCCACGCTGACACATTCCCTCCCAGCCTGCCATATTTGCTGTCACAAAGCTCAACAGAACTGACAATAACAATCACGGCAAGCAGACATAACGCAGCTCGCCCTACAATAAGTGTGTACATTTCTCCTTATGTCCACCTGGAACAAAGGAACATGTCTGTCAGCACAGCAACAGTATCTGGAAAAGTCTAGCACACAGCAGGACATCACAGCTTAGCCATGTTATATAACCATAAACATCAGCTGTTCCAAGAGGAATGAGGCCTAGAGTAAAGAAAAATCACTCTATGAGGGTGGGTTTACGCCAACACCATGTTTCTGACAAGTAGGGCTGGGACAGGAATCAGAGAAAATTTCCCATTTCAGGACCTTAATTCATTATAATAATTATTTTGGAATTTTTTAAGAAGAAATCCAATCTCACAATAACTAGGCCCAACTATACACAAGTCAGGCTTTAAATCAAAATTACATTTTTATTAGACCAGCAGCATGCATTAAAAAAATAAATAAATAACAGGGTCAATTTTAATTTTATTTTGACTTCAGGCCACAAGCAATCAATAAGTGGATGCATGAGATTCATATGTGAGCAAATCAGACCATAATAAATTCTGAAAATGTATCACACAGCATATGAATAATTGGGATGTGCGCATATTTTACTTTAGTGCCGTTCTAAATTCAGTCAGACCCATTGGAAACACCAGCTGCGATGAGGGAATGTATCAGAGCCCGATCTGAAGTGCACATCACTCAAGTGGGCTTTTCCTCTACAGTATGCATATTGCAGACGTGACAAAGGCCAGAACAGAAGGACGCCGTGACACATTTTTGACACGGGGCGGGTGTAAACCACCCTTTACCAATCTGCCACGCTGACACATTCCCTCCCAGCCTGCCATATTTGCTGTCACAAAGCTCAACAGAACTGACAATAACAATCACGGCAAGCAGACATAACGCAGCTCGCCCTACAATAAGTGTGTACATTTCTCCTTATGTCCACCTGGAACAAAGGAACATGTCTGTCAGCACAGCAACAGTATCTGGAAAAGTCTAGCACACAGCAGGACATCACAGCTTAGCCATGTTATATAACCATAAACATCAGCTGTTCCAAGAGGAATGAGGCCTAGAGTAAAGAAAAATCACTCTATGAGGGTGGGTTTACGCCAACACCATGTTTCTGACAAGTAGGGCTGGGACAGGAATCAGAGAAAATTTCCCATTTCAGGACCTTAATTCATTATAATAATTATTTTGGAATTTTTTAAGAAGAAATCCAATCTCACAATAACTAGGCCCAACTATACACAAGTCAGGCTTTAAATCAAAATTACATTTTTATTAGACCAGCAGCATGCATTAAAAAAATAAATAAATAACAGGGTCAATTTTAATTTTATTTTGACTTCAGGCCACAAGCAATCAATAAGTGGATGCATGAGATTCATATGTGAGCAAATCAGACCATAATAAATTCTGAAAATGTATCACACAGCATATGAATAATTGGGATGTGCGCATATTTTACTTTAGTGCCGTTCTAAATTCAGTCAGACCCATTGGAAACACCAGCTGCGATGAGGGAATCCATCACACACACTCAACACTCAAGGGCATGCTTGGTTTACATTTACACAAGACAACTCCAAACCACACATCTATGCCCTCAAAGATCACAAATAAAAACGAGACTGCAAGTACTTGATCCCAATTAATCGTGCCAAGAAAAAGTGATTTAATCTTAGCAACTCCCAAAGCTGACGTGAATTTTTCCGCGCACACCAGGAAAAGGTGTTGCATCACAGGCCCCAGAATGAAGCGAAGTATAATAATCCATTAATCTGTTTGTTTTAGAGAAGCACGTCTCTGCAGAACAGCGCACAATCTTTACATGACGTCTGATTTTCCAGCTTTCCTCTCAAAGTAAGTATGGCTTCTCACTGGGGCCAGGTGGCGTGGATTACATGTACTGGACGGAGTTTAGTTCCAGCTCTTCCGGCAGTCTTTTGCACTTGCTGTCATCACATGTCTCACATGGCAGCGTTCCCATCCCATGAGCGTAATAAACAAAGAGCAAAAGTGGACATGCACGGACACAGTGGATAAAGATCTAGAGTAAGTGTGAGAATGCATGGGTGGAGACTTGGGCCACAATATGTGTGCGACGGGTTGTAGGTAAAGTGTACAACTGAAGAAATGGCTATTTATAATAGTTTTATCAATGCGTATTTGAAGAAGGGATGAGAATTTAATCATTCTGGTTCTGATTCAGATTCATTAATGATTTTTTTTTTAGGTCTCAGAGGAGATAAAAACTAAAAACTTAGCAAAAGACTATTTATAATATTTCTTATCAATGCGTGTTCGAAGAAGGGATGAGAATTTAATCATTCTGGTTCTGATTCCCTAAAGAGTTTTTTAGTTTCTCAGAGGAGATAAAAACTAAAATCAAAACTTTTTTTTTAATTGAAGTATCATTTGTAAGAGTAACAGTTACTAAGTTCAATAAAAAAAATAAGTTAGGAATCGCTTCAACCAATTCAGTAAGTCATTTCATGATTCAAATCAGTAACTTGATTTAACTCAATTTAAGACAAACTGACTCCTTTTTTTTTCCTTTTTTTTTTTTTTAAACAAATAAGTTCAAAAGAATATTTTTTTACAAATCAAATAATTTGTTTTCCTTCAGAAAAAACGCACCATAAACTTAAGATTTTTTTTTTTTTTAATTGAAGTATCATTTATAACAGTAATGTCAAAATGTACTGAGAATTACCACTGATATTGTAATTGATACCGAATATTTAAAAAAGTTTAATGTTAATCTTTTTGTTTAATTTTTAGCTTACAATATTGAAAACAAAAGAAAACAATTCTGGTCCTTTTGAACTAGTTCTATTTAGTGAATTAAAAAGAACTACAATTTACCGAAACAAAAAAAGAACTCAGTGAATTGATTAAAGAGGTTCTTGACTTTTTTTGTATGAATATGAAAGAATAAATCAAATACCACTTGACTAATTCAGTAGAGTTACTGATTCAAAATCATTGTTATTCATTATTCATACATTCTTTTGAGTCATTGGTTTACAAATCAGGCTACTTTTTTCCTATAAACAAAAACTGAAAAACAATTAAACATTTTTAAAACTTAAGTATCATTTTGAGTTACTTAACATTTTTTCATAATTCAATTAATGATTCGATAATTTCGGTTGCCGAACATTCGGTGCATCCCTAATTTATTCAGTCGAAAATAGCAAAGAAATCTCTTTCGGTGTTCGGCCGAATAAGCCGAATATGTACCGAAGAATGAGGTGACGCGATCAAATAGATGCATGCACTAATGCAGCAAACATGACAGCAGTGTGAAAGTATTTAAAACTATCAGAGAAAGACGCAGAAATCATTACAAGCACGAAGCAACGACTGCGAGAGACTGTTTAGTGCTGCATCACATGTCTCCGATGAGAAAAGGTGGCTGATGCTGGTGGTTAGGCTACTATATGATGATTGAAATCGTGAAATAGCCTCAAACGAATAGTAAGTAAACTAGAGCTCGACCGATATATCGTTAAAGTAAAAAGCACATTTTAGTTATTTAATTTATGCAATGGTGAAAAAAAAAAGGCAAAATAGACCTAAATGCTAAAATCGGTATTCGGCCTTCGGCCAAGTGCTTCATTTTATTCTGCTTCGGCCAAGAATTTTCATTTCGGTGCATCCCTACAATAAATAGAACCATATTATTTGTTTGAACAGTGCAAAACAGAAATTACACACTTCACCTTTAAAAGCTGTCAAAGAAACCCCACTTCTTCAACTTCATTTGCAGTGGTGTTCGTCAAAAAAAAAAAAGTAATAATAATAATAAAGTATCATGCTTTCTACAGTTTCATTAATATTTGTCATGTTCAAGCCAGCCT